TTGTGGCGGGGCATATTTAGATGACGTAGTTATTAAAAAGGACCACACTCAATGCAGGAGCACTCGGGTAGAGCTGAAGAAACCACTCACTTATGCCTCAGAAGATACATGCTTTCTTTAGCCCCTCCTTTTAAGCTGCAGATGCCTCAGCATGCCCATTACCGCAGCAATGGCCCTATAGTTTGCTGCCTATATGGTGCCAGTAATTTGCAAACTAAAGCCATCACCAATTAATCTTACTTATATTACTTATTAATCTTACTAATATTATCATAACCCATATTTTCAAATATGCATGAATAAAAATGGGTGCATTTTTTTTTCCAGGAAAACACATTCATGGACTATGTAAAGTACCCAATATTTGATTCCAACACCAGTGGTGTCTTTTGTTTTGTTTTGTTTTTTGTTTTTGAGATGGACTCTCGCTCCATCACCCAGGTTGGAGTGCAGTGGTGTAATCTCAGTTCACTTCCACCTCTGCTTCCCGGGTTCAAGTGATCCTCCCACCTCAGCCTCCCGAGTAGCTGGGATCACAGGCATGCAACCACCACACCTGGATAATTTTTGTATTTTTGGTAGAGATGGGGTTTCACCATGTTGCCCAGGTTGGTCTTGAACACTTGAGCTCAAAGCAATCCACGCACCTCGACCTCCCAATATGCTGGGATCACAGGCATGAGCCACTGCACCTGGCTCAATGTCTTTCTTAAAAATGATCTGGTCTGCCTGTTTTTACATTAATTATGTCCTCTTCCTGCTGCTTTGCTTTGCGAAATTGCTGCCATTTGCGTATTTAGTTTAATTACTTAAAAGTCTCTGCTCAGTTATGGACCTTAGGGGCCCTTCTAATGGTAACTCCTTCCTTTCCCTGCTCTGCTCATCAGCACCTGCATTTACAAGCTCTAGCTTGGCACTGCCTTGAGAATCTGTACATGGATAAAATATTTGTTCTCATTGGACCTTCAGTTTCCTTATTTATAAAATGAGGACATTATAATAAATTATTTATGAGGTTCCTTCTGTCTCCAGAAGTTAGGTTGTGTTTCCAGGATATGCTGCTAATGCTGATGGTAAAAGGGACTTTTTCCAGATATCTTTTCATGTTTCTGCCCAGCACTGACACACAGTATTACAGCAATGTCAGTTGCTGATTATCCCTTCTCCCCTTTACCTTTTAAACGAAGTCAATCCACTTCTCTTTTGCATTTGCTGTTAAATCACTGAAGGGTTTTGGGTTTTTTAAATTTAAAGGTGTTCTCGCTGTTTGGCTTCTCAGAATTGATCCTGTCCACTCATAAATCTCGTAGAAAAATATTGTTACAGATGCTCAAGGCTTTTCATCTGGACCTACCTGCTGTGGTTTAACAATAACATGATTTTAAAATAATGTGTACTTTCTATGTCTTTTAAATGAAGGCGCCATTGCAATTTTTATGGTAATAAAATTACCCATTATACCGTGATCTTTGGATATTCTTTAGATTTTCTTCCTTTACCCAACACTATAATTGTTTTGCTTCTTCGCTGGCCCTACTTGTGACACTTAGAATGCAATCTTGTTCTCTGCTTCTACTTATGTTTATCACTAGCTACTGGTAGTGCTCTGAAATCTAACATTCTTGTGTCAAGGGGTAGGGCCAGGTTTAGAGTCAGAGATCTTGTTTGTCCTCCTTACCTTTGACATTATTCCATGCTTTCAGGGTAACTAACTGGGTCAATATAGACGTGCTTACCTAAAATGAAGAACAGCGCCTGGCTTATAGTAGGCATTCATAAAATATTGGTTAAATGAAATAATTTATCTTATAATCCCATAAACATCCATGAACCAAGAGGTCTTAAGACATTTAAAAACATGAAGGGCTGGCCAGCCAGAGAGCTGGAGAGCCTTCTATTCATGCATATGTGGATATGGTAGAAGGTATAAATGAGACCCAAGCCAAATTAGTCACAAGGATTTAGCAAAGTGTATTAATACAAAGTTATATACTAATTCTTTAAAACAGAAGCCTTGATTTCTTAACACAGGAAAGCAAAAGCTTTCTACTAGAATGCCTGGACAAGTTCACTATATTGTAGTTTTAAAAATCTCCCGTGGAGCTATCCATAGTCCATATACTTAATAACTCATTGCTGAGTGAATAAATGGATGGATGGGATGTGTGTCTAACAGGAACATGAAGGCAGAGAACCTGAGTAGACAGCCTGGGAGAGGAGAAAGGACTTGAGGATTAGAGTCTTGGCTGCTTCTCTACCCAGCTGTGTGATTTGAGATCCGTATCTTAACTGCTCTGAGCTTCTGTTTTCTGATCTATACAATGAGAATATACATACCTATGCCATCAGCCTACACTGAAGGACATTGTAAGAAACACAAAACCTATGTTTACCCCATTCCACAAATGGCCTCTTCTTAAAGCCTGTGTGAAGATTTTGCTGTCAGACATCAGATCTGCTGCCCTAAGAAAATGAAAATTGGTTTGTCTCATAGATAGTGAATTGTATAACCGATGATACTTCCCTTTTTGCCTTAGCGTCTGGAGAACTTGGAGCTAGATTTTCAGCCTGCTTGTAGCAAAACATGCAGGGTCTTAGGCATGTATTTTAAGTATTAGAGTTCCTCCCGACTATCATCCTATTTCAGTTACATTTTCTTTCTTATCGATGACATCATTTAGTTGGTTTAACTCTTAGGTTTGGATATATCTTTGTAACTTAGCTCAAATTATTTTTGGAAAAAGGCATTCTGAAAAAGTAGAAAGAGAAAGGAAGGAAGGAAGGTAGGAAAGAAGGAAGGAAGAAGGAAAGAAGAAAGGAAGAGAGGGAGGGAGAGAAAGAGAAGGCAAGAAAGCCAGATAGCCAGTGCCTGTCTCTTAGGATTACTGTGATGTGTAAGTGAGATTGTATTTTTAATACAATTAACCCCTCAACAGTTTCTGTCATCCTTTAAAAGATCCAATGTACCAATACTTTCTTAGATATGTAAGACAAATAATAATAAAATAAAATTTTTATTGATATCAAAAATATATTTTTAATGAATACATTAAAATTTAAATGAATACATATATAATTCTATGATTTTCAAATCATGCTCCCTGGAGTTCCCACAGATGAAGGTGACAAGGAGATAAGATACCAGGGGCAGGGGGACATTTGGGTTTTTTCAACCAAAGACTCTCAGAGTTGTTATTTTTATTTGTTTGCTTACATGTAAGGTTTCTGTCAACAAAGGGTTGCTTGATGAAACAAAAGTTTGAAACCACTGATACATGTATGTGGCAGGATGGTAATTTGGTGGATAATGGATATGGATTTACAAAATTGATTGTAATGCATTTTTGGCCTACAGGTTTCGATGTTAAGACTGTTTTCTGTTTGGTGTGGTTGTTGGTTGCCAGCAAGAACAAATACAGCACTATAGAATAATATGAAAATATAAAAAAGAAATCTATTGAAAACATCCTGTCACAAATGTATTTTTTAAAATCGATAGCTTCCCTGAACCATCCAAAATATAACTATGCTTAGAAACACTCCAACCCCCACACTCCTACTCCACGTATCCCCTCTGTGCCAGTAAGTTCAGCGAGCTTCAGTGGGTCTCCGATTTTTTTTGTTTTTCTTTTTTTTTGAGACGGAGTCTCGCTCTGTCGCCCAGGCTGGAGTGCAGTGGCCGGATCTCTGCTCGCTGCAAGCTCCGCCTCCCGGGTCCACGCCATTCTCCTGCCTC